CAAACAAATCTACGCAACGGGAACCACCTCACATCCGCCCATGACCGTGGGCACGGCTGTTCGAACAATTAGTTAACCTCTGCAGAGGGGTACACTTTACCCACAAGACACGAACTTACTCCAAACACTGGCCGGTGTCAGAGGTTCGCGACAAAGCCTTTCCCAAGCCGACCCAGGGATACCTCATGCCACATAGAAGGATCAAATCCTCACATAAATATAGGCCATTTTAGGCGTTCACAAATCAAACTCCAACCACCTCGATCGGTAATTCAGCAAGCTTCTCGTTCTTGCATTACCAGGAACCCGGTTTGTCCGACCCCGCCCCGGCGTTCCCAACTATTGGCATGCGAGGTTTCCCTGAATCGACTAGTTACTTAGCCAGGGTGTCCCATTCCACCTTGTGGTTGCACTTTGATTATGTTCGATGAGTTTCCCACAGGAATCGGTCCTTATATGCGAATACGGGACAGTGCCACATAGGCACAACCCCCGCATCGCGAGTTTTCACAATTCATTTTATTTTCAAACACACCGACACCACATGTCGGGTTTTGAAGGCTTCACAAACCCATTTCCCAAGTTTTCGACAAACAACGGTGTATGTGGGATATTTGGTATACGCGCTCAGAGAGCACGATTACCGAGGTACCACAAGGGTGGAGCGACAAGGAATCAGGGTAGTACGACCTACGGAAATTAGTGCGACTACTGTGTAGGTCCGTCGGTTTGGCACGCAAACCGAGGTCAAGCAAGTTAAGTGTGTGATTCTAATAATGCAAGTTGCAAACAAAATAATAATGACTTTTCAATCATAGGGGCAATTGATCAAGGGTGACTTGCCTTGCTCAAGGTCTTCACGAAGCTTCACGAATCTTCGAGAAAACCCGCGATCGACGAAAATTCGATAACCGCAACTATACGCAAACAATCGAAAACCTAAACAAAGGACCAAAAGAAAGATCCTATTTAGACTAATTAGTAGTGCCATTAAATAGATCTCAATTTTACGGAATTACTGGAAGTGGAACGGAGGCGATCGGAGCTACGGATCGAGGGATATGAATTTTGGAGGTCTAAATGGATTTTCTGGACAAGGAAATGTTTTGTCGGAATTTATGGAAATAATATTCTCAAGAATATTATTGACAGTCACTGACCAAGGAAAATGATTCATGGAATTTTGGAATAAGGAATTGATTTCTGAAAGAGGGAAAAATGATTTATTGAATTTATAGAAAAGAGAAATATTTGTGGAATATTGGAAAAGACATTCTCAAGAATATCTTTGACTCATTGACAAGTGGGGTCAACAAGAAGGTAAGAGAGAATAAAATTGAGAGGGAGCAAATTTGGACTTTTAGTTTATGAGTGATGGATACTGGGCTTGGGCGAAGGGAGTATATGTGGACTTTTGTTCGCTTTAAGGGGCCGAGGGGAAGGTGCGCTGATGGGCCAAGCCCACAAGCACGGGAGAGAGGGGGAGGAGTGGGGCGGCTGACTGGGCGCCGGCTTGACCCGGTCAAGCGGGGTCGACGGCTGAGGTGGCGCCAACGTGGACGTCACGTCGGATGGGGAAGGGAGAGGAGGCCGGGCGGCTCATCGGACGGCCCACGGCGCGCGGCGGGATCCGGCGAACGGCGGCGAGCCGGAAGGGGCGGCTAGCACTGGCGGCAGGAGAAGGAGAAGGGGAAATCATTCAACGGCTCGGATCAGGAAGAGGACGTGCGACGACGGCCGGCGGCGGCGGCCAATCTCGCCGGCACGCCGACGTGGCCGTGCGCGAGAAGAGCGAAGGTTGCGCGGGCTCGGGCTTAGCCGAACCGGTATGGTGTTGCGACGCGCACGCGGTGACGCGGGACCTGATGGTCACCGGCGGCGCACGCACGGCGACGTTATGCGGCGGCGGAAGCGGCGACACGGCGCGGAGACAAAGGAGAAGGCCGACGGCCTTGGGGCAGCCAGGGGGAGGTCAAGGGGATCCCCGGGAGCGTGGCGGCGAGAGGAATCGACGCTAGAGGAGCCGACGACGGTGGATTGCGGCGGCGGCAATCACCGGAGAGCAAAAGGGGAAAACACGACGAGACGACGAGGGTTCGATTCAAAGGGATGGGAGCATCTCCGGGGTTCAAGGAATCCATTTCCGGCGTCGGATTGGACGGAGCGGCACCGAGATTGGCTGGCGACGAGAGGCGGCCTCCGGGACAGAGCATGGCGGCCGGCGAGCTAGCGCGCGGCGCAAGGGCGACGAGCGGCGGTTCGGCGGTGTTCCACGGAGATCAAGGAGGACGACAACGAGAGGAAATTAGGTGGAGGGCTCACCGATGGCGACGGACGGCGTCGGGGCAAGAGGAGGAGGAGTGGATCCTTTCCACCGGCGCGGATTAGGGCGCCGGGGTCGGAGGAGGGCCGGCGACGGCGTCCGGCGGCGGCTGTGAGAGCGGCACGGCGCGGGCGCGGAGGGCGAAGCTAGCGGCTGCGGCGGCGCTGGGAATCAAGGAGGGGAGGGAGGCCGATGGCCGGGGAGGCACGGTGGAAGTGGCCGGTCGCGGCGCACGGCCGAGCGCGGCAAAACGGAGGAATGGAACGCGGTGGGCTATGTCGAGCAGCGGCGGGCGCGATGCGGCGAGAGGGAGGGGAGAAGAAGGGTGGCGTCTTCAGTACTATTTCGGGTAAGGACGGGGAAGAAGCAGACGGCAAGCTCACCGACGAGAGAGGAGCAGCGTTGGCGACGCGGAGGGAGCCGTGGAGAGGTGGTCGCGACGGCGGGGCGGGGGCGAGCAGCTGGCGGCCGGCATCAATGTCGCGGGTGTTTCGAGCGAGGCGAAGACGAAACAAGAGGGGAGGGCACGGGCTTTATAGGCGAGGAGGAGAGGTCGGTTTGGAGGAGGGAAACCGACATTGGTTGTCAAGGGAGCTCGGCTGGTGTTCACGGGCGGCAGCGGTGGTTTCCTGGGCAGTGCAAAAGCGGCGACGGCGGTGGATCGGACGGCGAAGATTGAAACGCGAGCGCGGGCTGGCAGCGTGGAGCGGTCAAGGTGGGGGCGGCGAGCTGGCGTGGTCAAGGTGGTGGCAGGCGGTGACGCCGATGGTGGTCGGGCAAAAGGAAAAAGGTGGAGAAGAAAGGGAGCTCTGCTCCTTGCTATTTCGGGATAAAGGAAAGGGAGAGGGAGCGAGGCCGAGGGCTCTGCCTCCCTCCCTTGGACGCATGCGCACAGGCGGGGCTGGGCGACGCGCGGTCACGGGTGGCGTCAGGGCTGACGCGGCGGCGACCGAGCGGTTGGCCTCGAGCGAGCGCGCGCGCGCGGGAACGAGCGGCACGGCCGAAAATCGAATGGCGGCAGCGGGAAAAATTGGCGATGGCGGCAGCACTGGCGTGGGAGAGAGAGAGAGATCGAACGAGAGAGAGAGAGAAACATAGAGAGAGAGGAAGAAGACGAGAGAGCGAGAGAAACAGAGAGAGCGAGCGACGGCTCTCTCTTGGCTCGCATGCGTGCAACGCACGTGTGGGGGGGGGAAGATGATGGGCTGGGAGGGGAGATGGGCCGGGGGAGGAAAATCGGTCCATCCAAAAATACAGGGAGGTAAAGTAGACTTTTACAGAGAAAACCGATTTGGATAGAATTGTAGAGATTTAGGGTTTGGATTTGAATTCAAATTTGATATTCGAACTCGAGGGTTTAGGGATGTATCAAGGGAAACTCAAGGAGAAGTCATGGAAAAGATTCAAAAGGAATACTTGGGTATTTGTTCTCGGGAACATAGGGTGGAGTCAAGGAAATGATTTGGATGAGAATCGATTCTCTCGAAATCGGGAGAAAGATTTGGCAACGAGTTCAAGGAAGGGAGTGATTGACTTCAGGAATTGGGATTTGGATGAGAGGGAGGAGTCGCCAACGGGATTAAAAAAAGGGGATTTGAATCTAAATTTTGATACTTGTACACAAGGGTTCAAGGAGACGAGTAAGGAAACAAAGTGGGAGTTTGATACTTTCGGGAATGGGAACAATTATTTGGGGAGGATTCAAGGGAAGGGATTGACTTTCGGAATTTGATTCCAGAGACTCGAATCGGAAGAGGAATTTTTGAGGTGGAGGATTTTGATTTCGATGAGAGGGAACAACGGGATTAAATTGGGATCCTTGGCACAACTTAGACTCTCACACAAAGAACGAAAATTTTCGCAATTAGGATTTTGCCGAGTTAGTTTTTAACGACTCGCGAAAAGCGGAGCGTTACACTAACTCTATAAAAAATCAATTTAAAAAACCAAAATGTATGCCTTGCAATGCGCTGATTTAGGCCATATTTGTTAATGCTATTACTAATATGTAGGTATGTCATTTCACCTAAAAATATATGCAGGTATGTCACGCATTTGTGATAGACATTAGGGACACTTTTATGGAAACCCATGTGTGGTAATGGATTTCATTCATATCCCTGTAGCTCTGATGCCACCGCCACCGCCACGCCGCCCAACACTAGCTTTCATGTAAACCCACACTATCTACCCCCCTCCTCACTAGCAGCGGAGCTAGCTCCTGGGCAGGTTGGGCGGCCGCCCAGGCTCCGCCACCAGCATCTCCAATGTAAATAGCTTTTGATGCCTGAAAGAATTAGTCGATTACTGAAAAAGGCTAGTACTCGTCGGGCTTCATGACATCTCTGGCTCTGCCACTGCCTCTCACCAGCACCTAATCTTGAAAATCTCTGGTGGTTCTTGCAAGAGTTTCAAAGACGCCAGCTTTGAGAGGAACTCGTTGCTGCCGAGTGCGCTTCGTGGAAGTTGCCTCTAACGTCTCATGCTGCCATGTCCCTGTCTTTCTCATGCCTCCCCATAGGCTGGAGGTAGAGGGCTTGTGCTGGCCCTCAGATCTGTGACCGATGGCTTGGATCAATCAACTGAATGATAGCAAATATGAATTAAATAATAGCCTCAAGAAGTCAACAACTAACTTAATTTGATCCAAGTTAGCATACAATAGAAACTTTAACTCTCACCTGCAAAGTATGATTTGTTAGTTTCAAGAGATTCAGTACTCCTAAAAAGAATGAATTAATTTTTAAGATGGATTCAAAGGGAAACAATATTGAGCACAATATTTAAGGTGTAGTATGATCACTAATACAGGGGATGACTCACTAAGGAAAACTCCATAGGTTGAGTTAGGAACCAAGGCACACAATTAGCAAGACATGCAATTTTAGCTAGTAATTCTCACAATTTAAACTATCACTAATTAATACATCCTAGCTAGGATACGCCACTAATTAATTTTGCGAGACTTAGTTGCCATCTCGATTACATCCAGTAGGATAGAAGGGCAAGATGTTTTGAGGCGACCATACCCTTCAGTCTCCACAACATCATCCAATCTATTTGATGAGGCGATAAATTTAACACACGCTTCTTTTAATCTTCCGCAATTGTGCTGATCAGCTAGGGCAACAATTGTTGCCACATTATCAACACTAAGACTCATGCAGAGTGCCTTTTCACAAATGGTTTTCAATCCTTCCACAGCATAACGATCTGCAGCTACAAGCAGATGCTTAGCCAACTCCTGCCTTTCATCTCTACTGAGATCATCATTAATAGCAGGAGAGAAGGAGTCCGTGTACATAAAATGAAGTAGAGCCTTGAACACAACAGGTTGCATATCCTGGATGGCTATCCGCTCTCCTCTCTTGGCCCTCATCGGCCCGTAAAGCTCCGCCATGAACACCGGTGATCGCGCCGCTAGCACCACGCTATGAGCGGGGAAAACATCTCCTCCAACCTCGAAGCTCAAGTCGGCTCCGACATTGTCCTCCAGCAACTTGCCCAGGTCCCTGGACAAGTTTGTCGGAGGCACTTGGAAGTGGATGATATCACCTGGCATGGCGGCTCTCTCCTCCGTCTTCACCAGTGGTGTCTTGATGACGGTGAGATTGCACTCAATCATAAGTCGGTCGTCGCGCAGATAAACCGATCCCTCCAGCTCACTCCTCCTGATGAAATTCTTACTACCCCACACGAGACATTTGCTTTTGAAATTAGTCGTGCCGAACACTCTCCGTGTGTTGTTCGTAGTCGAGACCAGAACGCAAGACGAGTCGTCGGTATATTGATCCAACATCCTGATGTCAAAGATGGTTCTCACCTCGGCGTCCTTGGTCATAAGCTCGAGGAAGACGGAGATGTAGTCGTCGTCGGACTCGATGTTGCCGTTGTGGTAGTAGCGGAGACACCAGTCGAATCCACCGACGTCGAAAGCCGCGGAGCGGATGAAGCTGGCTTTGTTGCTGCCGGCACCATCGACTGCTTGCAGGCTGTATCCGTGTATGGTGAAAACGTGAGTTCCCCGTGCTGTCTCTGGCTTGCAACTCGATGCCGTCCTCGTCGTGCTCGACGGTCTCAGCCGTGACGCCGACGCCACCATGGTTGGAGTTGGAGAAGAAAGAGGATCACCGGACGAGGCGACGTACACGGCGACGGCAATGAGCTATAGGCTCGTTTGTAGTTATCGGATGCAGCTGCAGGGAAGAAAAAGTTGCGTTTTGTACAGCTCGATCTAATTTAAGCAACTCTCTGCTGTCAGGGAGCATCGATCGGGACGTAAACTAGGTTAATTTTATGTCTTGGGGCTCCCATCCTCCTATTATACTACTACTAGTAGTAAATTAAATTACCATGTAGATTAAAGTTCCTCTCTCCTTATTCGGTCCAAGCTTGCCATACGCTGCATATCTCTCGAATCTCTCGACTCCTCTTCTTCACCGATCGGATTCTAAGACGTCACAGGAAGTAATTAAGCGTCAGCAATATGGCATCCATACATTCATCCATCCTGCAATTACACGACGAGTAATAATCCTGGTTGATAGACAGAGGTCTCTAATTCGATGGTCATAATCTATCACTCGATCGTCAGCTAACTGAGCTGTCTGATCTCCATGGTTTTGCAGTGTCCGGAGTGATTTCAGTACAAACATCAACAGGGTATGTTCTTTGTCGGGCATTGGGCATGAGGTTGATCAGTGGTTGAACCCCAATTATTTTTTCTGAATTTTTTCTAGGAACAAACTGTTGTTCTCACCGGCGAGGATGCGGCGGAAGCAGCAGCATGCATGGTCTCCGGACTCCGGTCGGCGCGCGCCGGCGAGATATGGAGATCGGCGAAGGTGGCAGACGAACTCGATCGCGATCAAGGACGTAACGGGGAGATCGACGAAGGAATACGGGCTAGTTACGCTTAGGATATTTGGCGGTTTCGGTTTGGGCTTTCTATTGCCGCCGTCCAAATTAATCAAATACGTTGGGCTAGCTGAAACAAATTAAACCCAAGGATTGCTCATATCTGTTAAACCGATTATGACCGGCTTAAGTAGCCAAGTCGAATCGCTTCTCAATGGAAAAAGGTCCAATTTGATTACAAGTTGGATTTGATTCGTATCACTAATTAACCGTAAAATCGGGTATACTACTGGCCCCTCCAGTGCAAAATGACCCCTCGTCTTCTTTAAGAGCGTGGTTTTCCCTGGTGTGGCATCCACGTGGCACGTTAACTGCCTTTTTCTAACGTGGTGTCTACATGGTATTACAATCCGTTAAAATATAATAAAATAGTGGGACCCACATGTAAGTCCCCAATCCCTTCTCTCCATCATCTCCAGGGGACTTAAAAGAAGTTGAGGGAAGTCGAATATCTTGTGAGGAGGCCTTCAAAGGAGGAGAAGGCAAGAAATGAGAGGAGGTCATTCACACTATGCGTCCGACCATAATTACCTGCCACAAGCGCAAGATAGAAAATTCCTTGCAATACCTGTATGCTACTTCCATTTATTACATGATTTATTAGTATCATTAAAATTACATAAAAATTTAATGCCAACTCCTTTTTTGCTATAGGTTAATAAATATGAGATACCCCACAGACATGTGTTTACACCCAAATTTGGCACCTAGGATTAAAATAGGAAAGATTGCCAAAATTTGGAAGTCTGCCGGTTTCCTCCGAGTGGGCCGGTCTGACCGTCGTGTGTTGAGCGGTCAAACCGCCGGTTGAGGGCCGGTCATACCGGCGGTGTGTGGCCGGTCTGACCGGCAGGTCCGAGTCCGACTGTGTTTCGTCGGGTCTCGAGGTTTCCTTGCTCGAGAAGGCATGTTTCAGGTTTCCTTTGGTTTCTACCCCGAGCTGGACGTGGAGGAGGGCCTGTAGAGGGCAAGACCAACCCCTATATAAGGGACATGGCCGGTTCATTGTAAAAAACCAATCTACAATCAATCAATCGAATCGTTTTTCATATTGCTTTTAGTTTTCTCTTAGTTTGTCCATCTTTGTCGGTTTGCGCCGTAAACCATCCGCCGCCGCTGCGAGAGTGCGACATCACTTTATAGGTTTGTCCTGAAAACCTTCCGTTTTGCCCACGAGACGGGTAGTTATCTAGAAATCGGCTCCGCTAGCCGGTTATTTATCAAAACCCATCTAGGTTTAGCTCTTTGCTAGATCGAGGTGGTTGACGACTCTAGAATCACCGCAAGGCTTAAGGTGCTATGATCGTGCTTGTCAATTTGTCACAAAAAGTTGCCAACACGATTTTTGGCGACTCTGCTGGGGAGGAGATCCGTTCATCGTCAACTCAACTTTGACTTCGCCATGACGAAGCCGCTATCTAAGACGGAGGTGGAGCCATCTAATGTGATACCGGTCGCATTGGAAGACTTCGAAGGAGAAGATCGTAAAGCTATGGAGGAGTACATCAACGAGCTCACACGGGAGGCGTTGATGAGAGCAAGTACTAGGACTCGTCAAGGCGTGACCATCAAGCCCGGACCACGTCCCAAGCTCGCTCCCGACGTGGTAAGCAATGATGAAGTATCACAATCTATCCAACAACAAATTACATCTACAATAGATTCATTTATAGTTGTTTTTAAAGATCAGTTAGATGTAATTTTTAAGGGTAAATTTGATGAGTTTTTAAGGAATAAATTCGGTTCTCTTATGGACGATTAGACATTAAAAGATAAAGCCTCTACCACTGCTAACCAACCTCCTATAGATCAAACGGGTGGTAAAACCGACGGGACGGCGTTCACGACCGGTCCGACCGGGCCTGACGGCCGGTCAGACCGCGACACAGCCGTCGGTCCGACCGGCCAAACGGCCGGTCGGACCGGGTATTACCCCGGCGGTCAGACCGGGTCTCAGGCCAGTCCGACCGCGCATCTGGACGCCGGTCAGACTGGGCCATGGGCCGGTCAGACCGGTGCAATTGTTCCGATACAGGGAATAGATCCGATGATTAATGCTAGTTATTTGTATCACTTTAAAACATTTGATCCTCCTGTATCTACTGCTACAAGTAGTCCCCAAGTTCCCCCACATGTTCCTAATTCTTATAACGATGTTTCTAGGGGGTATCCTCCCGATACTAGACAAGGCCAATATAATCATATTGCACCATAAACACAACCTATTAGGCCACCGAATCCACCGCTAAATCAACAAGGGCCTAATAATATGGAGGATATAATTAGTGAAATTATGAGGAATAGATTCGGGATTGAAACTAGGAATCGTGCTAGAACTTACAAAAAGCCATATCCTGATTATTATGATAATGTGCCGTTTCCTCGAAATTATAGAGTTCCCGAATTTGCCAAGTTTAGTAGTGAGGATGGTAAGACCACATGGGAGCATGTAGGTCAATTTTTGGCGCAATGTGGTGAGGCTAATAGTGATACTTTTAAATTGCGCTTGTTTTCTTTATCTTTATCCGGTAATGCTTTTACATGGTTTATTTCTTTACCGGCAAATTCTATTCATACTTGGGCTCAATTAGAAGAAAAATTTCATGATTATCTCTATACTGGAGAAACTGAGCTTAGGTTATGTGATTTGACATCGGTTAAGCAAAAGTATAATGAATCTGTCATAGATTATATTAAAAGATTTAGAGATGTTAGAAACCGATGTTATACTTTGAATATAAATGATAGAGATTTGGCTGGTCTTGCTTTTAATGGTTTAGTTGCTCCTCTTAGAGAAAGACTAGATGGCCAACAATTTCTTGATGTTAGTCAACTCATGCAAAAGGCTCTGGCTCAAGAAAGCCGGGTTAAGGATAATAGAAAACTTGCTAGACCATTTGACAAAAAGCCTAATGTTAATGTGGTCGATTACCCTGAGGCTAGTGATAGTGAGGAAGAGGGTGATCATGATATTTATGTTGCCGAATGGTCATGGACTAACAAAAATAAGCCTTTTGTTTGCTCTAACCTAATGCCGACTCCTCGCAAAGATCGGCAAAGTAAGGTTAAGTATAGTTTTGACGTGGCCAAGTGTGAGAAGATTTTTGATTATCTTTTGCAAGAGAAACAAATTAGATTACCTAAAGGCCATGTCATACCTTCTCAAGAAGAGTTGAAATGTCGAGCATATTGTAAGTGGCATGATTCTCATTCTCACTCTACTAATGATTGCAATGTGTTTCGACGACAGGTTCAATCGGCCATAGATGAAGGACGATTGAAGTTCACCGATGGCTCCAAGATGAAGCTTGATCATGATCCTTTTTCGGTGAATACAATTAATTTCAATGATAAGAAGGTGTTGATTCAGCCGGAGCAAGCCAAATCTGCTAAGGGAAAGGAAGTGATCATTGGTGAACCAAGGTCCAAGATGATAGTGCCAAAGAAGCCGGAGGTTGGCGTTTGGAAGGAGAATAGGAGTGGAGCTTCAACTTCTAAGGCCCCTAGGAAGACCAAGGTGACTTTTGATATGCTTTTGGAGAAATATGAGAAGCAAGGTGGTGAGAAAATTCGCAACAAAGGGAAGAGACCAAGATCACCTCCTAGGGAGCGATTTGGTCATTCACCAAGATGGTCGCATTCACCTTCGTATCATTATCCACAAGACATGTCATGGGGTTCTTATCCAATGCCGCCGCCGGGTTATCCTTATCCTTGCTTTATGCCATGGGGGGCAACACCGCCAATATTCAATCATATGCCTCCAATGTGATTCAACCAACGGTGGGGAGGACCACGGAGGCCAATTCATGAGCGTTTGTCTTCACCAAGCAATAGCTGATTTATGGTAAGAATCGGGCTAATGAAGAAAAGAGGGAAGGAAAGCGCGTCAAGGTGGAGGAGAGGACTTCGGAAGTGATTACTATTAAAGTGGGGTCTCATGATGTGCCAATACCTACTGGAGATGGAATTGGAATGTCCCCGAACAGAAAATCCGAAGCCGGTACCAGTTCCTCGCAGTCGGCCGGTCTGACTAGGCCTTCTGGCCGGTCTGACCGCGGTCGTGCGGCCGGTCTGACCGGGCCATTAGGCCGGTCTGACCGCCGACTCGATAGCGGTCCGACCGGCACCTCAGGCTGGTCTAACCGTGCGCCCAGTGTCGGTCTGACCGGCGCATCTGGCCGG